CGCTGAGCCCGGGCCGGCCAGGGGCGCTGCGCGCTCTCCCGACTTTCCGGCCTGTGTAGTCTCCTTCCCTGGTCTTCTTTCCTGGGACCGGCGCTGCCTGAGCCGGAGGGAGGAGCCTGGATCTTCCGCCCAAAACTTTGAGCCGCCCCCGCCCCAGCCCTGCGTTTGTACTGAGCATGCCCGGAGGGAGCTGTTTTCCAGCCGGAGAAGTTTTGGGAGGGTTCCTGCTTTCCCCTGGGCCTCCGGACTTCAGCGGAGAGGGGTGCCCTGCAGCGGAGGAGGGCTTTGCTTGGAGAAGTTTACTGGGCGCTTACCGTCCGCCAAGCGTTCAGTCTGAGGATCTCTAACTTTCTCAGCAAACCTGGGGATGGAGGAGGCGCAGAGTGAGAGCCACGGGATTCAGGGCAGGCCCGACTCCAGCCTGGCCTCCACCTCTACCCCTTGGCCACCTTGGGCCGCACAGGCCACCACTGCCTCTGAACTTGTTCTTAAGAATCGGGTCTCAATGCCTTTTCTTTCCTCTAAGACCAGCGGTTCTCAACCCGTGGGTCGCGACCCCTTTGGGGGCCGAACGACCCTTTCACAGGGGTCGCCTAAGACCATCGGAAAACACATATATAATTACATATTGTTTTTGTGATTAATTGCTATGCTTTAATTATGTTCAATTTGTAACAATGAAAATACATCCTGCATATCAGATATTTCCATGACGATTCATAACAGTAGCAAAATTATAGTTATGAAGTAGCAACGAAAATTATTTTATGGTTGGGGGTCACCACAACATGAGGAACTATATTAAAGGATCGCGGCATTAGGAAGGTTGAGAACCACTGCTCTAAGACAGTGTGCTCCCAGCCCCCGGAGAAACCAGAGGCTGCCTGGACATTCATTCCTGGGCATTTACAGCAAACCCGCCGCTCCAACCAGCACCAGGCCAGCAAGGAACCAGACAAGGTCAGGGCCTGGAGGATCGCACGCCTGTGTGGGGAGAAACAACCAGAAGTGTTCAGCTTGCTCTTTCTCGAAGCAAACATTAGCTGAGCAGCTACAATGTGCCAGCTCTTGTCCTGGGGGCTGGGGGCACAGCAGGGAACACACGTGTGTACACACACATACACACACTCTTACAGGTTGGAGCTTAATTCCCTAGGAGGGCTGGGGCAGGGGACCACCGGGAGCTGCTACAGCCGAGAATGGCTTCCGTGTTCTTAACCTGGACGGGCAGCTCAAAGTTCTAGTTTTTTCATTGTTTCCTCATCAGCCCTTCCCGGGGGCAGGCTGGGAACTATTATCTGGAATCAGTTTTTATAGATGGAGAAACTGACACTAGAGGGAAAAGTGGTTCCCCAGGTGTTGCCGCGAGGCGATGGGACAGGTATGTTGACGCCTGGGTCTGTAAATGCGTCCTTAGAAGCATCTCTGAGACTCCTGGGGAGGTCTGTGGGGGCAATAACCTGGGGTTCTTGCTTTATGGGGGCTATTTCTTTGGTTACCCAGCTTTAGTTTGTTGTTGTTTTAATATATTTTTATTGATTTCAGAGACGAAGGGAGAGGGAGAGAGAGAGATGGAAACATCAGTGATGAGAGGGAATCATTGATTGGCTGCCTCCTGCACACCCCACACTTAGAGAACAATGTGGGCCTTTGTGGAGGGGCACTCGGAGCCCCTGGAATCTTCGGGAGCAGGGGGGTCTCCGGGTCTGCGGTGGGTAGTGCCTAGCCCCCGGGTGGGCGTGAGCTAACCCCAGTGTGGATTGGCTGCCTGCACACCCCACACTTAGAGAACAATGTGGGCCTTTGTGGAGGGGCACTCGGAGCCCCTGGAATCTTCGGGAGCAGGGGGGGGGCCGGGTCTGCGGTGGGTAGTGCC